TGCCTCGAGAACGTTACTGCCCGCGGAACGAAGTTACAGTCAAATCGAAAAAGAGAGTTTAGCAATAATGTACACTGTAAAAAAAATTCACAGGTTTCTATAAGGAAGAGAATTTATTCTGAAAAAAAAACTACAAACCGCTGTTAACAATATTTGGTTCAAAAAAAGGTATACCAACTCACACGGCAAATCAACTACAGCGTTGGGTTGTAATTCTATTGAATTATAATTTCAAAATAGAATATGTACCTTCAAAGAAGCTAGGTCACGCCGATGGGTTATCAAGATTGATGCCTAGATATACGGAACCACTGGAAGAAACAGTAATAGCAGCGCTAAGAGACGAAAGTGAATTGTCGGATCTGTTATGCAATACTATTAGAGAACTACCGGTTACGCTACAAGATGTGAAAAAAGCAGAAGAGAACAATGATTTCATTAAAAAATGAAAAAGCAAGTCTGGTTGAACAAGACAACTAAAAAAGAAATTAGTGTGTCACCTTTTTCAATTTGCGAAAAGGTGATAGAGTTGTAATGGCGGTTACTCTGAAAAAGAAAATTCTGAAAGAATTTAACACTGGCCCTCCAGGGATTTCGAGAATGAAATCTCTAATGCGAGGCTATACTTATTGGCCGAGGATGGACCAAGACAGGAAATTTGGTGAAACAGTGCAGAGGATGTCAACTGGCAGCAAGGGATCCACCGGTAAAGATTCAACCATGGCGAAAGACAGATGTCCTATGGAGTCGATTGCATATTGACTATGCAGGGCCCATATATGGATATTACCTGAACATTGTAGACGGTTTCACTAAGTGGCCAGAAATTGTTAAGTGCAGACATCCGACTGCAACAAATACAATAAACGCATCTAATGAAATTTTTAGTCGCTTTAGTCAGCCTCAACGGAACGCAGTTTACGGGTAGAGATTTCAAGGAATTCTATACATCATTGTCCATTGATCACGTAACAACGCCAGTATATCATCCAAGATCGAATGGACAGGTGGAAAAATTCGTGGACTTCTTTAAACGAGTGTTGAAGAAAAACCAAGGCGTGGACACGAATGAAAGAAGTTTTCAGGAAATTTTGGCAGTATATAGAATCACGCCAAACCCGAATACGACGTCAAGGTTATCGCCAGCAGAGCTAATGTTTGCGAGAAAAATACGCGCTGTGTTCGACAGGCTGTTGCCTAGTCCGGCGAAGGAAACTGGTAAAAAAGAAAACCAGATGACTAAAGCGTATAAGCCAGGTGACAAAGTTTTTTCAAGAACTTTAAGGCTGGAAAAATGTATTGTGAAGAAGGAATGATAACCAAAAGAAATGGACATGTCATATATGACATAAAAAGGGAAAAAAACGGGCGGTGCAAAAGATCTTGGCATCAATTGAGATCCAGACACACTACAGAGGTCACGGAAAATACCGAAGAGATTCCAATGAAAGTCCTGTATGACGCATTTGAAATTCCCGTTCCAGTAAGTCAACATTCACCAATGCAGGTATCCCCGACCTCAAGGCCAGAGGTACCAGTGTGCCAAACGCCACCACTGCAAGGAGGACTGAGGAGAAAAGGACTTAGGAAAAAATCAATCGATTAAGTCCAGACCCTAAAAAGAAAATATTGAAGCTAAATTTCACGGGAAAATTTAGCTCAGGGAGAGGTGATGTAATGAATATGCATACACCTGGGTTCCCCCTCACAGTAATATGATTGGTTGGTGTCAGCCATAAATACAGACTGATGTGGAGGTACACCTATTGACTACGCCTATAGTCTTTGCTTATTGCCTACAACTACTGCCTACCACTACGACGAGAATCAGTCTATACTGCTAGATTGTCTTACCCGGTTGCAGTCATCAACAACCACTTTACTATTTCGAACAAATATATCCCTTTCCGGGACATATCATAGTAAAATGCTATTGTTTTACTATTGATATACATCAGTTTCCCAACCTTTTTTTTAACCAGCTCTCCCTTCAGGCACAAATTTTTTTTATCACCGCACCCCAGGTCAAATTTAATTTCTAATATTACACTGAGTTGATCTTTCATAGACAGATAACACTTAAGTATTAGTGCAAAAATAATTTTAATATTGTTTTCATTTCTATTATAAATGTCAATGATTAAAATGTTTTAAAAAATCATTTATTTTACAGCTTATCTTAATATTTTCAGTGCGATGGTTGACTTTGGTGCTTACTGGCTAAGGCTCTTACTCTAGGTTCATTTGATAGCTTATCTCAATGTTTTAAATGCAATGGTTGACTTTGGTGCTTACTGGCTAAGGCACTTACTCTAGAGGTTCCATGCTTCTTGGAAGTAATCGCAGATATCCTAGTTTTGTAATTTACAGGTGGTTTCTTTGTTTAATAAGAAGCTGTGTAACTGCGTTGAAACCACATTCAGTCATATAGGGAATTGGAAAAGCAATGAAGAAAAAACGTTTTATAGCTCCCCACAGCTTTAGATACCTTTAAAAATTCTTTTTGTAACAAATATTGAAAATTTGAAAAAGAAAAGAAGGATAAATGCCCCTCGGCCACCTGAGTATGTTCACCGCATCGTAATTAAAACAAATTCTGTCTGTGCCTCCGTTTAACATCAGAAAGCTCACAAGGGGGCGCTAGCGACCACATTAGGAAACACTGATATAGATAAATAATTCCTTACCTCGTGTATTCATGTGCTATGAACTATCAGGGTTGTGAAATTGATGTCCATACTTTTGTTCTAGAATCTAGAGAAAAGAAATATCTCAGAATATTCCTTGGCCTTAATGGAAGTATGGTAAAACCTGACACTTATACTTAACATCATGCAGAGACAATTTTAAATAGATATCTTTGATTATTCAACGAGGCGAATAGACGCATTTCAACCGAAAAAGATAGGTTTAAAAACTAATTCAAATTTCTTAAGTATCACGTTATTAGAAATCAATCAAGATTTTTGGTAACTGTTTGAAAAAAAATATAGTTTATAGACTATATATAATTTAGTGAATTTAGATAAATTATGCTGGAGACCTATTACGACACATTGGAAGAAAGGCACTCACTGTGTAAGACGATGCATTGGTGATGGAAAAAAAGAAAACGATTTAATGTTGTAAAATAGCAAGTAAACCAGAAAAAGTAGACAAAATATTTAAATAAATACATAAGAAATATGAAAGAATAAAGGAGCAGGATATACTCATATAGTCTTACAACTTTATTTTCACAGTTAAATTAAACTTAATTAACAAACAAACAAAAAATACTTCTTCTATGTGCCGGGATCCCTCAGGAGAGGTAGGTGATCATGGCTCTCTACCAATTCGCTTCCTTTTTCGACAAATTTGATAGCGGCAACAAACAATTATTTTTATTTCATGGTTGACTTTCGATGAATTTCACAATTAATTTTTTTCAAGTTATAAAAATTGTTATCGTACCAAAAAATATAAAAAAATCGCCGAAAACAATCGCAATAATGAAAACTTTGGAATTTAAAATTCTGAAACCTGCGGTATTGAAAGATAGATAGTTGTATCCCTTTAATTGAAAATGTGTGACACACTGACATTCGTATTTATTATATACATTAATGTATATTTAGGAAGTAACATTTTTTAAAAAACATATTTCATTAAATGCGGCAAATAAGGAATATTTAATTAATTTTTTATTGTTTTTCCAGCATGCCTACGTTTTACTGTTTTGTAGGAGTAAGAAATTACAGAAACTGACCATAATTTTCATTGTCCAAAGCGATTTCTGGTTATTTCATACATATATATATATATATATATATATATATATATATATATATATATATATAGAGAGAGAGAGAGAGAGAGATGAACAGGTTCAAATAAATAGATATGAATGGAATGAAATGAAGGGAGATAAATCAGAAGTCTAGAAATAGAAAAGTCTAGGGATAGAAAGAGAGTTCCTGGCGCTCTTGACAAATGAACGATTCCATTTATTCGAAAATTTAAAAAGGGCCGCCAGGCATGCCTTGGCCTTTTTGAAATTTTAGAACAGCATGAACTTCTGTCATTTAGTTTTCGGCTTACCAAATATGTACAACCAGAGAAACAGAAATATGAAGATAGAAAAAAATGTAGACGCTTCATTGTCTCATGGACCATCCTGGTTAAATAAGGTTAAGTGTTGAAACTTATATGTTTATTGATAATATAATATTACCTGAATATATATATCTTCAATTTTCCAACAAATGTTTGTAGGAAAGTTCTAGTGAAGTTGGTGAACGAAATTTGCTTTGTTAGTAATTATTCTTGCTTTGTGACTAACTTTAGTGAATAATGTCATGCAATTTTATCACCTAAAGCAGTTTCGTCAAAATTGAAAAACTAATGGAAGAAGAAGTAATTTAGACAAATTTGACAGCGGCAATCTTTAAATCTGGGGAAAGAAATGCCACCGTATTTATTGAAAGAAGATAGGCAACTATATGTAAATAAGACAAGTCAAAGAAAAGAAAGGATTGAAAAAACAGGAAACCGAAAAAGCTTTTGCTATCTCTCCTTATCCATTCTCTTTTGACCATTTGTACAAGTTCGTTAGGCAGATTATTCATGGCTTTCCTCTGTCTCTCTCGAATTCAATACATCCTGTGAGTGTTAAATTTCCCGAGCCTTCTAACCTTATTATGAAACCTAGATATTTCAACGGTCTCTTTCTGATCATGATAAGGGTTGTTTTTGTCTCCATTTGCCCTAAAACTTGATCTTTCCTCGGATATTCAGTTTATGGTATTCTCAGCATCCTTCTGTAGAACCACAGTTCTATTGCCTCAAGTCGCTTCTTTATTTGTGATGAGATTGTTTAGTATTCACTACCTTAAATGAGGACCGATATTCGATAAAAGTTAAGTATTCTTTTCTTTATTTTCAATGATTCGGGCTGGATTAAAAAATATTACTGAGAAGCAAAATATCCTTTTCTTTTTTTCCAAACCAGTAACCTTAAAATGCCTCTTAATTTAGTCTCTTTTATACGAAACACAGCATTAAAACCTTCACCCTCCTTTTACCCGGAACTGTCAAAAACATTTGGGGTATTTAAATCCGGATTCATAAAGTAAGGCGGTGTGATAGACCAATGGCGCTCCTCTCTATTAAATCTCACACAGCTTCTCTTACTAAAAGATATAAAAGAATGCCTTTCTCGAAAACAGCCGATTTATGAGCGACCAGGCTTCATTCGAGGGTTATTGAGTTTGTCATTTGTAATAAAAGGGATACATATTTCAAGGCAAACTACAGGCCTCCATCTAATTCTACTGAAGTCTTCCCAAATAATTTCTTGGAATATCATTATTTGGCAGCACCAGGTTAACCAAGGAACATTTTGGGGATCCATTAGAAAGATTTCTTAATTTAAACCATACGACATCATTTGTTAAGTAAAAGGGTAAACTAGATACCCTAGCTGTGGTTGGCTGCCAGTCTTGTAGAAGGATATCTTTGAATTTAAAGATTTACAAAGATCGTGTAGATACAATATTAGTAAAATAAAAACATGACCGATTAAAAAAAAAGTATGGATTATTATGGAGTGGGATTATCCAGAATGTTGTTGACAACAAATGATTTTGGCTCTAAGGATTTGGGATGGATAAAACACCTTATTCTCAACGATATGATGAAAGCGAGCTTATTTAAAAGCGAGCTTATTTTGAAAAGTAACGGGACTTTCATGTGAGAGGCATCGTGTACAGTAAGTTCTTTCTATAAAGAGGTCCTATGGTGTTTGCTTCGCTCCGCGCGTGACAAAGGACGAGAGTTGTGGCAAGACACCTCGTGGCTGCGTCAACACAACAATGCACCTGTTCACAACGCCCTGAGCATCCGGCAGTTCCTGGCCGTGAAGAACATTGCCATACTAGAACAATCACCCTATTCACCTGTTCTGTGTGACATTTTGCTTTTCCCCAATCTCAAGGGGATCAATAAAGGGACCCGTTTTGAAGTCGTTGAGACCATCAAGAGAGCTGTGTCGACGGAGCTGAGAGGCATCGAAGAAGAATCCTTCCAACAGTGTATACAAAAAACGTGGCAGAGATGATGGAAAAGTGAATTAAACTCGAGGGGGGTTACTTTAAATGAGAAACAATATATTTTGTTGTTTGGAATGAAAATGAATTTTTTGCCCCATCAGTCCAGTTGCTTTTCAGATACACCCGTAAAGATATTTAAAATCAGTCTTAAAATAATTATTGCTCCCTATGAAATAATAATGTTTCTTGATAATTGTTATTCTTTCGATGACATAGAGCCTCCCTAGTTTTCGTTGGTTTGTTTTATGTTATTAAGTTATCTATAAAATAGAATAGTGAAAGAGGTGAATAATTAAGCCTACTTGGTGAAATTTTAATAACAGCTATTGTATTTTTGTGCCAGTATTTGTTGTGATATAATGAAGAGCTGGAAGTAACTCGGGCTTGAACAAATGAGAAAAAAATTTCGGAAGGGTTTCTTTGTCGGATGGAAACTTTTCACTATCTACTGTTAAGTAATGTAGCACATATTTTAACGTTTTAGTTTTTTTTTATCCGAAGGTGTATTTGTTGGCGTCAACTATAGCATCTATGAAAGGGACTTCATTTTAGATTAATTTCAAATAATCTGTAGTTATTTATGATTAGTAACGTATTTCAACAAGCTATTTCTAACGTTGACAGTATTTCTGTTTATTTTTTTTTGTCATTTACGGCAATATTTCTCAAAGAGTTTATCGAATAAGTAAAATATAGTTAAATGCTATCGACAAATAGCAGAAAATATTAAAAATATTCTAAAACTTAGCAGCATCGAAGATATGCTATGAGTCATTAAGAAAGAACTCAAGAGAAAAATTACCAGTACACTACATAAACCCATCTGTAACAAGGAACAAATTACGAATATCTTAGTTAAGGCACATTGGATCTAATGCCGGTTCCCTTCTGCCCTGAGGGACGGAGGTTCGAGTCTTGCCGTAGAGGGTACATTTTCTTTTATCAACATTTTAGGCTGGTAGACGGAAATAAATATATTGTTTAATAAATAGATAGAATGTCGACTTATATATGAGTATCCTTTAAACATACTGTTTAAAGTGATAAAATAATATATATATAACTATATATATATATATATATATATATATATATATATATATATATATAAAATTATTTAGCCGAAAATTATAACATAAAGAGGTGTTTAAACAAAATAGCTATTTTTGTAGTGATTTTATAACATATTCACGTTATAATTTTCGAATAAATAATTATATTTGATCTACTCTTGAGCACTCTTTTAAGAATAGTAATTGTTTGTTATTGGAATACATTCATTATACACCAATCCTATATTGGATATATATATATATATATATATATATATATATATATATATATAAGTGGATATGAAACAGACTGTTGCTATATATATCTGTGGGTGGGTGTGCGTGTGTGTGTAAAAATTCAGATAGAGTTTATCTGTAAAAGGACAATATGCATAAAGACAAAAGGGAACCTTATCTTAGCCAACAGGCTTTGTCCTCTGATGGACTTTTCAAGACAAGTGCCTTGATAAATTTCCTCCAAGGATGAAACGCGTCGGCTAAGATAAGTTTCCTTTTTATCTTTATTCATATATACAGGGTGTTAGATGTACAATCCCAAAATACTTTCACAAATTTTGGTGGTGGGTTACTGATTCTATCGTAAATTTTCTTTTAGCTTAATAACACCAAAACAAAGGATTTGGGGACACGTACATACATGCATATATATATATATATATATATATATATATATATATATATATATATAATATGATAAAGTTAATTGGTAATCCGTATGAATAATTCCAGGAAGGATATAAATCCAGAGAGCTCAATGTAATAACAGAGTAAATCATAATTAATAAATAAAACGGAGACTTCAGAAAGCCATGGTGATATTTTATTTCGCAAAATTGAGACTTCGATTTCGTTTCATCAGACCGGACGGCTTTTAACCATGGTTTGGTTTGCTTTGTTTTGTTTTGTTTTCCTGCATATCAAACTGAATGGGTCATTTAATGCCGACAACTTTTTTTTTTCCTGGTAATATTTTTGTTTTGTCAAAAATCTATTTCTGTTAATATATTTTTCTCAAAATGTATAGCTGGTAATATTATTTTTTTCAAAAAAGTATAGCTGGTAATATTATTTTTTCATAAACGTATAGATGGTAATTTTTTTTCAAAAATGTATTATCAGAGGCCTTGTTGACGGACGTAGTTTATCGTCATACCCAGGACGAGGGTGTAGTTTATCGTCATACCCAGGATGCGGATGCAGTTTATCGTCATACCCAGGACAGCATCTAACCTTGAATGGATTACAAAATTCTTCCAGGAACCAGACGACAAACGAAAATGAACATAAAATTTTTGTTTTCGTTTTCTTGAACTTGCATTTTTCTGTTTGATGGATTTCTTTTTCCAATCGCCAGTCGTCCATTTTTTTGTCTTCATTCTTTTGTTTTTACTTTTTCTGTTCTAATATTTTTCTTTTTCTCATATTCCTTTAATTCTTCGTTCATGCCATTCATTTTTTCTTTTCCTCTTCATTGTATATCTTCGTCCTGGCTAAGACGTTAAATTACATCCGCGTCCTGAGTAAGACGTTAAAATACGTCCAGCAGCAAGGCCTCTGATCAGGAGGTTTTGAGGAGCGGGGAACCACCTCTTAATTGCTGGTATTCCCAGGTCCACCCTGACCCGGGGTGGTAGCATCTGTTAGGGTCCCAGCTATGGGCAAATAGTTAACTATTACTAGCAATACTTTTTTGAAAAAATCATTACTAGTAATACAATTTGGACGGAAAAATATTACGAGAAACAGATTTTTGACAAAACAAATTATTACCAGGAATAAAAAAAATTTGTCGGCATTAAATAAACCATTGATGTCGATATGTCGTAAAACAAAATAAACCAAACCATTTTCTATCTACCTACTATCTTTGCTTTTTTTCTTTTCAAATTTTTCTTCCTTTTCCTTGTTTATCAGACGCCATTTATTTTATCTCACTTTTCCCTCCTCTCTTTATTTCTTTGTCCCTTTTCTTAACTTATTTTCTCTTTCAATCGTTTCACAGTTTCCTCAACGACAAATTTCCTCTTCTCATTTTTATCTTCTATGTTTTTACTTCCTTATTTATTCTCTTTTATCTAAACTTCATTTTCATCTTTCCACATTTCACTTTATCTGTTTTTCTTTCCCCGCTTTTCTTCAAATTTTCAAACTTCGTCCGTCATTTTTGTCTTTATCTTCTGGTGTTTCACCTCACTTTCCCTGTTTTTCTCCGCCACATTTTCGGCTTCCTGTTTTTTCCACCTTTTCTTTTCCTAGACTTGTCTTATTTATGTATAGTTGTCTATCTTCTTTCAATAAATACGGTGGCATTTCTTTCACCAGATTTAAAGATTGCCGCTGTCAAATTTGTCTAAATTACTTCTTCTTCCATTAGTTTTTCAATTTTGACGAAACTGCTTTAGGTGATAAAATTGCATGACATTATTCACTAAAGTTAGTCACAAAGCAAGAATAATTACTAACAAAGCAAATTTCGTTCACCAACTTCACTAGAACTTTCCTACAAACATTTGTTGGAAAATTGAAGATATATATATTCAGGTAATATTATATTATCAATAAACATATAAGTTTCAACACTTAACCTTATTTAACCAGGATGGTCCATGAGACAATGAAGCGTCTACATTTTTTCTATCTTCATATTTCTGTTTCTCTGGTTGTACATATTTGGTAAGCCGAAAACTAAATGACAGAAGTTCATGCTGTTCTAAAATTTCAAAAAGGCCAAGGCATGCCTGGCGGCCCTTTTTAAATTTTCGAATAAATGGAATCGTTCATTGGTCAGGGACGCCAGGAACTCTCTTTCTATCTCTAGACTTTTTTTATTTCTAGACTTCTGATTTATCTCCCTTCATTTCATTCCATTCATATCTATTTATTTGAATCTGTTCTCTCTCTCTCTCTCTCTCTCTCTCTCTCTGTATATATATATATATATATATATATGAAATAACCGAAATCGCTTTGGACAATGAAAATTATGGTCAGTTTCTGTAATTTCTTACTCCTACAAAACAGTAAAACGTAAGCATGCTGGAAAAACATAATAAAAAATTAATTAAATATTCCTTGTTTGCCGCATTTAATGAAATATGTTTTTAAAAAAGGTTACTTCCCAAATATACATTAATCTATATAATAAATACGAATGTCAGTGTGTCACACATTTTCAATTAAAGGGACACAACTATCTATCTTTCAATACCGCAGGTTTCAGAATTTTAAATTCCAAAGTTTTTATTATTGCGATTGTCTTCGGCGATTTTTTTTAGGTTATTTTTTGGTACGATAACAATTTTTATAACTTGAAAAAAAAATTGGGAATAATCGAAATTAATTGCGAAATACATCGAAAGTCAACCATGAAATAAAAATAATTGTTTGTCTGGGGATTAAGAACGTATGTACTTCAAAATGTCTTTAAATTAAGTGGCGGTAGAAGAATTATCGTTACAAGGTAAGCTTAAATATTAATACAATACTTAAATGCAATTTTGAGTTCTTCTGTAGTTTATTGTTGCCTATCACATATGACGGCAGTATGCCTCACAAAAAGAAATGCCTGACAACAGAGGACCAGATTGAAATAAAAAAAACAAGGTTGTAGCGATGGAAAGAAAGTCCCATGTAAATGAAAACCCAGACCAAACAGCAGTCAGGGGAGCTTCCAATGCTGAAAATATGCAAAAAAAATAAATAAACAAATAAATAAATTAAAATAAAATAAATAAATAACAGAAACACATTAAAACTAAGTTATAGCTACAGCAACAATCTTTAGAAGATTATAAAGTTACGCAATAATGAAATTTTAAAACAATTTAATAATGTGGATTATAATACACGTTCCAAGATAAATATTAATGATATTGGTCAATGTAATTGTAGGAATTCTGACCAATGCCCATCGCTAAACAAATGTTTAACTAAATATCTGGTTTATTGTAGTAACATCTCTACAATAGAGAATCCGACGGTTGAAAAATTATATATTGGTAGTATTATGAATTCCTTTAAAACTAGGTGGTATCAACATCTCTTGTCCTTTACCAATACTACTTACAGAAATAATACATCACTTTCTAAATATTTTTGGAATTTAAATGATGATAATAAGACTTCTAAGGTGAAAAGGAATTTTTTTAAACGGCAAAAACATGTAGATCTTTTATATGAACCGTGTTTTCTATGTTTACATGAAAAACTGGCAATCATCAGATTTTTTGACAAAAATTTATTGTTAAATCAAAAAAGTGAATTAACAGTAAATTGTAAGCATAGTTACTTTTTACCTTACAATTTAGTTGAACTTTAGAATTTGAATATGTTTTTTTTATATTTTAGTTGTAGTGCATTGCACTATACATAGCTTATCTTTCTATTTGTAAAATAAATGGATTTAATATAATTTTATATTAATTTTCTGGTAATATTGGTAACAACTTGTGCAGATGTATTTGGTTGCTATTTTTGACATTTTACATTAACATCTTTATATAACAGTTGCATATTAATTTATCAAAGAATTCTATAAGTTTAAATTATTTAAATGTTTCTTAAAGAAGCCATTTATTTATTAAGTACACAAAAATTAATGTAGGAAATTCACAAAGCATTTCACTTGCTTAGCATTTTGTTAAATTATCTCCCCACCCTTACTTGTATTTCTAAGGAAACTGCATTGTCTGGTTTGTATAATTTTTGCAACCATATGTGTCCGCTTTAGTTTATGTCTGACTGCCGTTAGCTGCCAATTTAGGGGCCTTGACCCATTTATAAAAACATAATTTTTAATTTTTGCTTCTTTGCTTCGTATAAATTTACCGTAGGTCATATTTGATTCGTTGATCAGAGTAAAACTCACAATCTTTATAATCCTATTTTTTTCCGTAAAAAGAGGTTGTATTCTGCTTTTAAAATTAAATAAATCATTCACTCGCCAGTAATTTACATTTGCCTGATGAGATGCATTGATATGCATCGAAACACGATTGCAATTGTGTAGCGATTTTGATATGTTTCCTGTTTAATATCCTGAAATAAATATTATTGCACTACTCTGTACTGGGTCCTCTATTAAATTAGAATTTACGAACGTTGGAATTGATCTCTATTCGTTGTCATCGTACCTATATATATATATATATATATATATATATATATATATATAATAAAAATACTTAAACACTACTATTCCATGGTCATAATTTATTCCATTGGAATCGTAAATACGATCCAATTCATCAGACCTACAAATTCAAAAAGAAAACAGAAAAAAACCAACTCCGGAAATAAAAACAGAATTTAGAGAGAGTGTAAGCATGATGAGGAGGGAGATTAAACCTTAACAGAGAGAATTTTAGGAGAGATGGGTGGAAGGGGTTTAAGTAAGAGAAATGAATGTTGTCGGATGTCTAATGCATAAAGATACATTTCGTGGTGACATACACACACGATAGACAATCTAATGTTAGAATAAGAGGGAGGGAAAGACGAGGTGGGGGAGAGAGATGGGGCGAAGGAAAGTAAAATTGCGTTTACTTAAAGGGCCGCTTTGTAATTGAGAAAATTTGACAAATTTAATATCGACTACAGGTTACAAATCAAATATAACTATATAAAGATAAATATAACGATTATATAAGCCATATTAGTGTTTAAGCCTTTTTATTATATCCTTACTCTTTCCTGGACATTGAGTTCTACCTTGATTCTTCCTCTTGGAATTTTTATTCTAAAAATATACATGTATGGGTATTTATATATTTTGCATATGTATGTATATTTTCCACTAATATTATTTATCTATCTATCTATCTATCTATCTATCTATCTATATATATATATATATATATATATATATATATATATATATATATAATGGGTCCTATAGGTAGATTGTGTGATTTCAAGAATGGGTTTGAGAATGCAGACGGGAGCACACGTATGCATATATGGGTGGGTACAGACATATATGAAGAGTAGCATGTATAAATATATGTGTACAGGTATACATATACAAAAAGCCTCTATAATATGTATGGGTGCGTGTATATGGATGTATGTGTGCACAGCTATATATCAATGGACATTTATGTGTGTACATGCATGTAAAAGTATGACAAAAAAGCTCTAATACGTGTATACGCTTAGGCGGATGTATATATAGGTACACATATGTGAGAGTGTATATATATGTATATATATATATATATATATATATATGTGTGCATTTGTGTGTGCATGTGTATACATATATATATATGTCACATGTGTGTATATATATATATATACACACATATATTTATATATATATATATATATATATATATATATATATATATATATATATAAAAAAATAATGATAATCCCAAATCCGACAAAACCAAAGAGCAATAAAATAGATAGAGATAAAACAATGCCCAAGAAACCCTCTTCAATTTTTGCCTTTCTCTTTCTTTCATTGTCAAAAATGTCAAAGAGAAGACATTTTCTCCGGTGGCAAAACGAGTCTTTGATAAAATAATTTTCCACATTGTCTCATCATCTTCATTTTTTTTCGGGTATTATGCATCCCACACACACACACACACACACACACACACACACACACACACACACACACACACACAGAGAGAGTGAGAGAGAGAGAGAGAGAGAGAGAGAGAGAGAGAGGAAGACGTTACCACAAAGTCTACATACCTTAAATGCGTTTCTACTAGTAAACCACTGAAAGTCAGCAGTTTTGCTTCAAACAGACTTACAACTCATCACTATATATATATATATATATATATATATATATATATATATATATATATATATAGTAAAGGTAATAAATCTGTTATTATCTAATCTAAGAGGATCCTCGTAATATAAAATATTAAAACTGATCCACAAGAAGAGCTCAATGTATTTATTATTGGAAAGCAAATAATTAGTACACAATAAAATCCAAAATTACCACATATGGGCAATAAGCTTATTGCAACCGACGAGGTTCGTCAGTCTTATTCAACCCCGGTATAGACTGAGTTCGTGTGTCGGAATTAGAAATTTAACTGAAACCGTTACAAAAAAAAAAAAACAAAAAAAACGGCACAAAACTAATAAAGAATTTATCCATTTCACTGTTTCGGTCAGATGAAAGGCGCGAGACAGTGGTCAGGGCAGGGTGGAGGGTATTAATCTTAAAAGGAAGAGGTTTTATAAAATGAAACCCGGATATTAACTTGATGGCATTAAATTGAGGTTATACAAGGAATGGAATTTAATTTGAAACTATGAGAGGAATAAAAAGTCGTTTTTGTTAATAAAAACTTAAATTTTATAGAAAAAATTAGGTTTAGAAATACAAAAAACATACTTAAA